AAGTTTTTGTGTCTTACTCCAAGAACTCCTTCTAACAGCACCTGTGCCATTATATGCTTCCCCATCACTGAGGCGTTCATCATCAGAGTGTTTAAAGGCTGCACAACATACAAGTTAGCTTGAGAAAAGGGGATACCCAGTAGCTAGCTCCTCCAGATACAGCAGTGGAAAGCCATGCCGTGCTTTGCAGATTAAAAGAGGATTGAATGGTAGCTTACATGAACAAAGGGGATAGAAAAATATAAATATAATGCTGTAATTATTAAAGGCCTTATTTTGTCACCCATGAGTAGTCCCACTCAGATTGTTCAAGGAGTAAAGTGCTGCTCAAAGGGAATAAAGTTCGCAGAGTCGGGCCCTAGAGATATAACTGCATTGATTACATTGCAGAGAAGCCTAACATATTCTTGACTGCATATAGATTTGAATGCTTGTTGATTTCTGGCCTACTGTTTTGTTAAACATGGGCAAATTAACAAAAGAAATCAAATATCTGTAGTTCAATACACAAATTAGAGACAGGATAAATTTAAAAAATTGCCTAAGTGATTTAGCAGCCTATGTCCCATCTCAAAAGGGGATCTAGGCACTTAGGAGCCCAAATCCTATTGACTTTCTATGAGACAATCTTTCAAGGACCTAAGTCACTTTTAAAATTGTAATTTAGGTTCCTAAATCCCTTGGGCATTCACAATCAGGACAATCCCCATCAAATAATAAGAACCAGCACATATGCCATGCATAAAATATCATTACTATAGAATTATTCAGCATTTCAGATAGAAAAAGAAAGAGAAGCTAATCCATTATTATAACCTGTAAGTAGATGCATCATTAGTTGAGAAGTCACCGTATTTGAAATTTGTCAACTATTCTTTCATAAACTATTAAAAGTGTATCCCCCCAAGCTAGTTTGTTTATTTCTATTCAGTATAAACTGCCCAAAGGTAATAATCCCAGATAAATTTCACAGATGTTTTTTTAGGATTAAGCTAAGTGATGTAACATACACCTCGAGTCAGCACGTGGGGTTAAATCTGGAAGGATGCCAGTGGTATCAGTGTGTAGTTACTTTATGTCATGGCCTACGAATCTGTGTTCAGCAAGTGCCAAAAGGCCTTCAAGCTAACAGTTTCATCTTCTTCAGACATATGCATCTTTACCTAAATGTTTCCAATTAAACAAAGATCCCTATCTATTTCTCTGATATGCATATCTGGATACAGGTGGATCCGATCCAAAATGTTCAGAGCCTCAAACCTCTCTTTATAGTGGGCAAGTGCACCTTTGGAAAAGCTTTATATCTGAATTTTAAACTCCCACATTTGGAAGTGTTTAGATTTCTATTTCGTTCAGACCATTACAAACATACAAAAAAGTTTGGATCTGATACTGGAATTTGGATCCAGGGTTTTTGGATTGGGGTCATCCTTAATGCCTCTATTCAAATCTTGTAACCAAAAAGGCATGAAATCAAGGCCTTTAAACAGCACACTATTTCAAGAATTGAAGCAGCTTAATTCTATACTCTAATGGCGTAAAAGACACTAAACAAAGGAATTTAAGTTGCTCACCTTCCTCATCTGAAACATCTAGGACCTCAGTCATCGTCTCAGGTACATTCAGTTTGTGTTTCTCAGTCACAGTCTGCAGAGACAGAATAATCATCTCTCAAGTTAAGCATCAAGAAAAATAGCAGGCATTTATCAGGGTATTTTCAACAACAGCTGCAGTTCAATCTGTTCAGACATTTTACAATGTTTTCTCTTCCCTCTGGTTTTATTTTTCAGGGTGTAATCTTTACCATAGTTGCTCTTGCTTTCTATTTGTGCTACAGCAAATGATCATTTATTCTGGAAAAAACATACAAAAAGCATGTATATAAATAGATGATGCACGTAGAGTAACTTAGACAATGCTTCCAGGATGGTTCTAAATTGAATTAGGTAACGTCTACAGAAGAACCGTAAAAAGTTATACGGGACATATGGAAATTATTAAAATTGTAAAGCATTTGGAAATGAAGCTATGAATGATGTGAAATATTTAAACTGAAAAAGATGAAGAGTATTTAGACAGACCATATGATGCTTTTCTTACTTGAAAGAGCAGCTCAGTGACTACAATGTGTATCAATGTTTCTCTTTTCATAATTATTACAAATCACCCTATGTCTTGGAGTAAATGTACATGGTGATTTACACACACACAAATTCAGACATATCACCTGCACCAAATAGCTTATAGGATTAGTTATACAAGGCAAAAACACCAGAGACAATACATGAGGCAATAGTTCAGGTAAGGGTGAGCATGGGGGTTATTAGAAAACAGATTTTTAGAATCAGTGACTTTGCATGAAGGACTCGAAGAGGAAGACAGAGGGTGCTTGGCCATGGAGTGAGACTGGGAAAGGGAGAGAGACTGATTCAAGAAAAGGGAGCATCATCTTAGCACGAGGTCATGTGTGGGTCAAGGACATGAAGAAGGCAATAAGAAGAGAGCATTGTGAGGAGTGTAGGGCATGAAAGGATTCTGTGGAGAAATGAGAGCAGATATGTTCTACAGATGGAGAGAGGATTATATAGGGGCCTGAAGAATGTTGCATGTGACATAATAGGAGATGACAAGTCAATGAATTCAAGAGGAATTCCATGGTCAGAACAGCTCTAGCCAGTACACAACCACTCCATGGCCACAACCCACTCTGAAACCAGCCAGTAGAACTGGATATCCGGGAAGGAGAGTTTACGCTTCACTCCTTAAGGTGTGTAGCAGTGGATGTAACCCCTTTGTACACAGGGGAGTGTCAGGAGACAGTATGTCTGTTGAAGCTCCCACAGGAATAGTTCACCATTGCTCCACTCTCAATTCTGGCCAGCACCTATAAAGCATAAATTAACCCCAAATGTGGAAGTAGCAAAACAACATATAACTCTTGTGATATTTATTGAGGGATGAACCTCGAAGCCCCTACTCTATCCGTACTCAGGCAAAACTCCCACTGAGGTCAACGGCAATTTTGCCTGTGTAAAAACTGAGTGAGGACTTCCAGATCTGGTGCTGTATTTCTATACTTCTGGCAAGCCAGTGAGGAAGATAGCACTATTCATTATTATGATGCTTTTCTATACATATCTACACATCTCTCATCATTGCTGAATCTGTGAACACTGGTAATTTGTCTAAGTTTAAGTGTCTGAAATGCATTAACTGCAGAGAATACATTTCAATTTACCTTCCTACAGTTTGTATGTGGGCAGGATGGAGGGTGGGCAAAACTGGTTGCCTGCAATCTCAGTTATTCATCTTTAATTAGATCTTAACCTTGGTTCAAGGAATTAACAAGTACGGTTTTCAATGCATGTGTTATGTGTTCCAAGCTCTTTTGTACTCATTACATTCCTCAGCCAATTCTTTGACTCTTTTTATCGCTCCCCTAGAAAGGTCAGGCAGCAGTAGGGAGTCCGAGCCAGCTGAAGCAGACTGAACACACACGGCAGTGCAGGTGACCTCAACCTCCTTCTTTGTAGCAATAAAAGCAATGAATTAAGAAATAAATCCTAAATAAACAAAAAGGCTGACACTCTACAAGTGGAATAAGGTGAGAAGGAGGATAGTATACTCTTCAAGTGATGGGCAAAGCACTGTGTGTACACATCAGTTGTTAAAAAGATGAGAAAGTAACCCAAATGCTGTACTGCTGCTGAGTATGAGCACTGAATAAAATAGCCAAGAACTCAGCAAACAAACAGAGAGGGGGGTCTCTGAGGAAAAGAGAAAAAATGGAATTGCTTAGAAAAAAATTACCATATATACTCGTTCATAAGTTTATTTTTGGTAAAAAGGTGACGCATCAAAGAGCAGGGGTTGGCTTATAAACGGGTCTACACCAAAATTTGATGATTTTAAACTCTATGGAATCATTGAATTGAATATCTAATACAGGGATCGCCAACCTTTGGCACGCGGCCCACCAGGGTAAGCACTCTGGTAGTCCGGGCCGGTTTGTTTACCTGCTGCGTCCGCAGGTTCGGATGATTGCGGCTCCCACTGGCCCCGGTTCGCCGCTCCAAGCCAGTGGGGGTGCGCCACTTCCAGCAGTTCCCATTGGCTGGGAATGGCGAACTGTGGCCACAGGGAGCTGAGGGGCTCCATGCCTGCAGATGCTCCAAGTAAACAAAACGTCCCGACCCACCAGCGGCTTACCCTGATGGGTCGGGAGCCAAAGTTTTCCAACCCCTAAAATATAGGGTTGGCTTATGAAGGGGTCATACAGTTTTTGTTATTTTTACCTATCCATTTGGGGGTGGGGGGGTGGTCAGCTTATAAACGAACAGACAAATGAATGAGTATATACGGTAAGTAAGAGTCAGATATGAAAGCTCATAAGAAGTTCATTTCTGTCTACAATAAATGCAACAGACCATTCATTCATTAAGGCCCAAATCCCAGTTCTCATATCGAACTCAGGAACAAGAGCCATGCACAGGAGAACAACACAGGTGAGAGTTAGAATTCTCTGGCCCACAGCTTTGGACCTTAGCACTTCAGTAGTGTTAACATTAATTGGAGAAAGAATCACAACTCAAAATGGGATTTAATCTATTTAAACAAAATGCCCCCCATTTGGGGTAGGGACAGTGGTTGTTGTAGGACGACAACTAATTAAAGTACCAAAATAGGATCAGTATGTTAATATATAGTATAAGACTAATAGCATATTGTATACATGGTACCCCTGCCAATATCTAGTAATATCAGATAAGTGGACATAGAATACGGTGACAGCCTATTGGGGCTCTAAAATTTGCTTTATTAAGGAAAAAATCCCATTAGATCACTGTTAAATTTATCAATATAGAGTCTTGGACATAGGCCATGGTACATAAACGTGATCAATACCTATATATTCATCTGTTTATTACTCTTACACAACACCAGCGTTAGCACTCTCAATCACATTAATACTTAGTAGGGTTGCCAGGCATCTGGTTTTCGACCGGAAAGCCCAGTCGAAAAGGGACCCTGGTGGCTTTGGTCAGCACCGCTGACCGGGCCCCGTTACAAGTCCGGTCGGTGGTGCAGCATAGCTAAGGCAGGCTCCCTGCATGACCTGGCTCTGCGCAGCTCCCCGAAAGTGGCCCGGTTTGTCCGGCCCCTAGGCGCTGGGGTGGTCAGGGAAGCTCCGCGTGCTGTCTCCATCCCTAGCGCCAACTCCACAGCTCCCACTGGTCGGGAACTGCGGCCAATGGGAGCTGCAAAGGTGGCGCCTGTGGATGCGGGTAGCACGCACCGTGCAGAGTCACCTGGCCGCGCCAGGAGCAGTGTGGAGCCAGGGGAGGCAGGGAGCCTGCCTTAGCCACGCTGCGCTGCCAACCGTGAGCCGCCTGAGGTAAGTGCTGCCCGGCCAGAGCCTGCGCCCCGAGCCTCCTGCCCCAGGTCAGAACCCCTTCCCGCACCCTAACTCTCTCCCAGAACCCGCACCCCCTCCTGCACCCCAACCCTCTACCACAGCCCTGAACCCCCTCCTGCAGCCTGAACCCCTCATTTCTGGACCCACCCCAGAACCTGCACCCCCCAGCTACAGCCCTCACCCCTCCCGCACCCCAACTCCCTGCCCCAGCCCAGTGAAAGTGAGTGAGGGTGGGGGAGAGCAAGTGACGGAGAGAGGGGAGCTGGAGTGAGTGAATGGGGGCGGGGCCTCAAAACAGGGGCAGGGCAGGGGCGGGGCAAGGGTGTTCGGTTTTGTGCCATTAGAAAGTTGGCAACTCTAATGCTTAGTGAGACATATGAGCTCAAAGAACCTAAAGCGAGGCACCCAAATCCATATTTAGCATCCTGAGTGACCTGATTTTCAGAGTTGCTGAACACCTTCCGCTCCCTCTAAAACTCACTGGGTGCTTAGTACCTGTGAAATTCTGGCCACTTATGTATGCACTTAACATTAGACATCTGCATTTGAAAATTTGGCTGTAAGACCAGATATTCAGAAACTTCAGCACAGAAATACATGTATATATTTGTATGTCTGCTTTTCATATTCAGCAGGAGTACAGATCAAAAGTTCTAGATACTGTACATAAATGGTCATTTGTCCATACACAGACTGTACTTACCTGTACATGTGCATCCAAACTTCACTGTACAGTTAAACATCTGAAAATCAGGCTTTTTTTTTTTTTTTAATACACTGCATGTCGCAATTGGTTATTTTAAATGTAAACCCCTAAGTTTGAGCATGGCACAATATCTCAAATATTAAGCCAAATACTGCCTTTGATGTATAGACAGAGTATCAGTATTGCACAGCAATACACCCTTTGTGTTTCTGGGTCTCCTCGGCACAAACACATTACTTAATTCTGACATCCTACAACGTATCAATTACAGCTCCCCTGACTATAACCCTTCTACCTGGAGATGCCACTATATTTAACAATGGAATGAAGAACCATTAATTATCACCCAGTTTTAAAAAGGATGAGGATCTGTGGACAGCTTAATGGCCCCAATAAAACTTGGAGTTTTAAATGCTGAGGCATATGTGGTCTATGTAGTTCCACTGATATTGTATTGCTCTGGTAAATCATGACGATGAAATGCAAAGAGAGATTAGAGAGGCTATCAAAATTAAGAACTCGATA